TTGTGCTTTATAGTGGTAGTCTCCTTGGAGGGCTGGAACGTTAGGACGCTTTGCTGCACTGGAGTGGAGTAGAAGGTCTGCGAGCTTTTGGAGGATAAGGGGAGGACAGACAGGAGGCGTGTTCCTTTGGAGTTTTCTTTTCCTTGTGAGCTCTCGTGCGCGTGCACAGTCATCCCTTTGGTCTGGCGATTGTGGAGAGGCTCAATCCCAAACCGTCACCGGAGGCTGGAGGCTCGGCCAGACCTCCCCAGAGAAGCCCTGCAGGGGAAGTTTTCCAAAGCGGAGGCAGCTGTGCAGAGCCCGGGCCGCCGTCGCGTTGGAGCCCAGGATACCAGCCGCCACCTTCCCTGCCACCCAATCTCGCCGATCAGGCTTCTCTTGTCCAGGCGCTGTGCGCGCACCGGGCAGCCGTCTGCGCCCGCCGAGCTCCACGGTCAGTGAAACTCTTTCCTTTCGGGGACTCTGGTCGGGGTAGCGGTGACGCCGACTGGGCTCCTGGTTTAGGGCGAGAGTGGAGACCAAAGCGTTCTCGGCTGGTGGTTCTGCAGCTTGGGCGAAGCGCCGAAGCAGGGCTTGGCACCAATCTGCCCAAGGGCGCGTGGTGGGGCTGGTGCCCTTCTGGGAGGGGTGCACTCCAAGAATGTTTGGGGATTGGGAAACTAACCGGTCGAAAGCACCTCATTTCCGCTCTGGGGATTCTGATTTTTAGGAAAGGGAAGACCAACAGTTCTCTGTGGGTTTTCCCTCTTTCCCAGGCATGCAAGAGCGTTGTGGAACATCACGCCCATGTTGTCACTTGCTCTGAAGCCTAGCTCGGGAGCCCTTTCTTACTCGCTTGCTTACCCTCCCCGCACGCTGGAGTGTGCAGAGGGTAGCAAAGCGCTCTCGGTGTGAGGGACTGATGTGTTTTTGGGAAAACCCCCAGTGCAGATAGTCTTGGAAACCCGCCTGTGGAAGTCTAGGCATTTTGTTCTGTGCTCTCCTTTAAAGGACACTTGTTGCCTTTCAAGGAGCCCTTGTAGTGCAGTGGTTAAAGCGCTCGGCTGCTAACCGAAAGGACAGCATTGGAACCCACCGGCCACTCCAGGGGAGAAAGATGTAGCAATCTGCTCACTTAAAGATTTACAGCCTTGGAAACTATGGGGCGGTTCTACTCTGTCCTATATGATCGCTATGAGTTGGAATTGACTCTATGGCAGTGGGTTTGGTTTGGTTTGGTCTGATTGCCTTTCACATGAAGGATACTAGGGCAGTTTCTAGATATCAGCCTCTGTTTGCACCATCCTAACGGCGCTCCGCTTATAGAGTTGGGGACGCGGGAGACATACTAAACTCAGGCTTCTTCAATAAGGAGAGCTGGTAATTTCTTCCCCAGAGAGCAAAACCCACCAAAAACCTGTTAAAAGTAACTACCTTTGTCTTTTTCACCTCCTGTAGTTATTGGTGGGGTTTCTTTCCCCACCTGCCCCCTCTGCTTCAACTGTTAGCTAATTGAGAAACACCTTGGTAATCCTGTCATGTACATTACCTGCTCTAAATTTCATGTCATTTTGGTAAAGTTGGAATTTCCAAATTACTAATTACAGGTGAACTTTGTTCCAGAGAGTCTGAGATGTTAAATGGTTTAAGTGTAAGCATCAAGATTCTGTTCTGTTTCTTAATAATAGCTTTTGGGCTCCTGCAAGCTCTTAGTCCCCAAATATGAGGCATGCTGAATCTATAGACCACGTTGCTCAGGTCTGAACCTTAGCGGCTTCACAAGAATTATGACTGATTATGACTGATGATTTGAAGCACGTTCTTGGTAGAACATGCATTTGAGAGGGTCTTCGTTTTGTATGTTTCACCCAATGATAATATGGTGTCCACATGATTTTGCCAAGTATCCGTTAGCTCTACAGCTTGATATGTATAGAGAGTTGATGAAGATGTCATCTGAAATGATTGCTATGGTGGTATTGTTGGAGGAGAAGGAAGGCAATTTTATTGGTAGCTGGCTCACATCATGATAAGAACCCACAGCCTTGGCTCTCTTAGCTCCTGCTGTAATCAGCTGACCAAGCAAACCATTGTGCTGATTCTCAAAGCGCTCATGGCACCTTTGATGACTAGAGTAATATCCAGAATAAAAAACTTAAAAAAAAAACAAACCTGTTGCCATCAAGTCAATTCCAACTCTTAGCAACCCTATAGGACGCGGTACGACTGCGCCATGGGTTTCTAAGAGTAGCTGGTGGATTCGAACTGATGACCTTTTTTTGGTTATCAGCCAAGCTCTTAACCGTATCCAGGATAGCCAGTTAAATTAACTAAATATCCTCCTGATAGATGCTAATGGCCAGAAAGGGGGCCATTCCCTTTCTCGAAAAGGCCTTCCCTCCCTCTTTTTAGAGGAAACTATTACTGAAGATTCCAATGCCAGTTGGGAAACTGGGAGGCTTAGTCATTAAACAGCGTAAGAGATTGAAGTATTTCTATTCTCCCATATCTGTGATCTGAAGAAAAGGATCAAAATATGCTTTGTTCTTGGAATACTGTTCTACTCCTTAGAATGGAAATGGTGGCATTTTGTAGCTCTAGCAATATTCAGTCATATACTCCAGATTATAAAAAGCAGAAAAAAACTGTAACCCCGTTATAATAAAATTTAGGCATAAGTGACAGGTACCTGGTATGCCCCTAGCTTTGAACATTTGATATTTGTATCATTTAATCACACTGAATGAAGTCCTATAAGTAAAGTTAAGCTAGGCATTCTAACTATCCTGCCACTTCTGGATGGTGCAAACACTTAACACACTCAGCTGCTAACCAAAAGGCTGGAGTCCACCCAGAGGTGCCTGGCAATTTACTTCTGAAAAATCAGCCTTTGAAAACTCTATGGAGCACGGTTCTACTCTGACACACATGGGGTCGCCATGAGTTGGAATTGACTCAACAGCAACTGGTGGCCACTTCTTGGCTATTGAAACCTCAACTAAGTCACTTCTTCAAGATTCAGTTTACTCATGAGTAAAATGTGGCTATCACCCCTACCTACTTACCTAGAGTTGTAAAGCTCAGATGAAACCAAAACCAAACCTGTTGCCGTTGAGACGATTCTGACTCATAGTAACCCTATAGGACAGAGTAGAATTGCCCCATAGGGTTTCTAAGGAGTGACTGGGGATTCGAAATGCCGAGCTTTTGGTTAGCAGCTGTAGCTTTTAACCACTACACCACCAGGGCCCTAAAGCTCAGATAGTAGATACATAGATAATACTTTATTATATATGTAAGGTGCTATTATTATTTCAGGTTTCTTGGGAAAAAAATCCTCTGAGGAAAGCAAAAGTATATGGTAGTTTCACCTTACGTTTTCCTTATGCCTTATATACAACTTACATAAACCTTATTTCATCCAAATATTGACTAAACCCGAGCTGTATTGATTTCCCAAGATAACTGTCAAAAATCCTAAAAGAGTTAATACCAACTGTGATTAGGCTCAGAAAAAGGACATAATTTTTTAAAAATAAAATAAATTATGGGCTAGGTATACATGTATATGTGTGTATATACGCAGCCCACTCGGTAAACGAGGCTGTGGTCTTCATTTAAAGATTCATATGAAACCACAGGAAACAAAATTTATAAACTATTGAAAGGGGAGGAGCCATTTTTATTTACCTTTGGTTATTGTTACCACCAACCTCCCTCACTTCCCCACATCTTTTCTTTAAGGATGAAGGTAGAAACCTAGGCTTCTCAGGGAAGAGAGCACTTGCTCTCTCGCAGAGGATTAAAAGAAAAACCAGATGGTCTGTTCAAAATGGCTACCCACCCTTCTGAACCCATTGCTTCATCTAAACTCTGGAGACTTCTTTAAAACTTTTTAGGTGCTGATAAGACCCGAGAATGGGAGACTGTCTGATTTAGTGGTTAAGAGCTTAGGCTCTGGAGTCAGACTGACCTGGCTTAGAATCACAGCGTTGCCACCCACCACCTATGGCCTTGACAAGCTACTTCACCTTCCTGAGCCTGTCTCCCAAACTTTATAATGGCACGTGTATCTACTTTACAGGGTCACTGTACGGGTTAGATGTCATCACACAGGTAAAGTGCTCAGCACAATGACTGCCACATAACGAATGTATCTATATAGCATGTTTAAAATATATCATAGGAGTGACTATAACTTGGAAAATCAAGTAGTATAACTGGCCTGTGAAAGGTCATTACTCCCAGTCCATTTTGTTTCACACCTTGGCAAACATAATGATGATAATTTCTGAGAAACAAAAAAGTAAACAATCCTGCTAGAAGCTATAGATTTTACACATTAATCTTCAAGGTTTTCAATGAAATAACTTTAAATATTTTTGTCTGTCAATATATCATTTTTAATTTTAAGTTAACCCTTTGTAACACTTTAGATGATTGCTTATGCTGCATTTTATTCCTGTGCTCATTATTTGCCAGATGAAAAACAGCACAGTTTGGAATATTGAATTCACTATGGAATTTGGTAATTTATTTTATGCTTTAACACTGTGTAACTTTTACCTGGAGTACAGTGTCTTTTCTCCTTCATTAATAAATAAAATTTTATATCTCATCTCTTGCGGATTTTTGTAATTTAGATTCTTGTCAACCTGGGTGTAGTGGGGAGGCAAAAAATAACTTTTCATCTACTACTTGAAGGAAAAACTGACATATCCTCATCCATATTATGATATGGTTATAGGTATAGCTATGGACAGAGATAAGATAGAGGTAGAGGTAGATAGAGAGATGATAGGTAGGTAGGTAGATAGGTAGGTAGATAGACTCTACCCTAACAGAGCTTCAGTCTTTTCTGGTTTTGTTCTGCCAAGGGGTAACCTGACATAGATATATCTTACCTAATTACCAAATATATCCTGCATTTTACTTGAGGCAGTAAATAATCATTGATTATGATCTTATTGCCAGTTGGATTTTGTAACCAAAATTATTTTTCCTCCTTTCTTTTTCTAGGTTGAAAAAAGAAGAGAGAGCATAAAAAGAACACAATAACAGACATTTCCTCAAATCTGCATCAAGATGGGAACCTTTTGCCTCAGGGTGTCCTTTTGGTTGGTGATGATTGGATGTGTGACCAGTGATAATCCTGAGAGATACAGCACAAATCTAAGTGATCGTGTGGAAGATTTCACCACTTTTCGTGGGACAGAACTCAGCTTCCTGGTCACCACCCATCAACCCACTAATTTGGCCCTACCCAGCAATAGCTCAATGCACATCTATTGCCCACAGCAGACTAAAATTACTTCAGCTTTCAAATACATTAACACTGTGATATCTTGTACTATTTTCATCGTGGGAATGGTGGGGAATGCAACTCTGCTCAGGATCATTTACCAGAACAAGTGTATGCGGAATGGCCCCAATGCACTGATAGCCAGCCTTGCCCTTGGAGACCTTATCTACGTGGTCATTGATCTCCCTATCAATGTTTTTAAGGTAGGAAGTAACCGCAAATGTATTTGCAGGTTTGAACATACGCTGATTCCACGGTAAGAGAGTCACTGCAGACTTTATAAACGTTTGGAATATTAGTCTGTGTTTTTATTGAGAGCTATCTTCTGCTGCCTTAAAAACTCAGTGACATTTTAAATGTTTACAGTTTGTTAAGTGTTATACTTATTTTCTAACTCATTGTTGACAAAATAGTATTTCAGGAATGATCATTCAAAACCATGGTCTTTCATGCATTGCATTCTCATGCTAGACCTTAGCTTGTTGGTTGGGTGTGCAGTCTTGGGAAGATCACAGGATTTTTCTGAGATTCAATTCCCAGAGGGAGAACTGCTGAGCCCTGAAAGTATTTAAAATAAGTATATTTTCAGTTTCAGTTACCTTTTCAATGTGATATGTCTCAGAAGCCAGATATCCACAATACAGTCAAAAATGAAAAGTATTTTGTTGTGACTGTCCCGGCTGATTATTGCAGTTATAGGGCATGTTGGCTTTTCTCTGTTATCTGGGTGACTTAGAGATAATGGACTACGTGTGATAGCGACCAGTGTTGACCTCATTGAGCAGTTTTACTAGAACCCTTTAAAATATGTATTCATTGACTGTTGTCTCCTTCAATTCTTCAGTTTATATTTATTGAGTGCCCGATGCGTGCCCACCCCTGAGCTGGGCAGTAAGGATCCAAAGGCAAAGTTAGTACCTCAGGGCATTCACACTGGGAGAGGAAAGTAACTAACCAACCCGTTCTGTGGTCACCTGGATTTAGTACCAAAGCAAACTAAAACCAAAAGGAATTAGAAATTCTATATTTGGTCTCCTGGTCATGAAGGGAAATTGCTATGAGGATTCAATGAACTAAAATTCAAATGAAATTATAGGGTATATGCCAGATTTTATGAAATGTCTTTATTTTAAGCTCAGGGAAAGTACTTCTATTGGTTTGTCATCCTCAGCCTTTACTTGTTTATTTTCTTCTATGTATTTTCCATAGAAACAAAACGATTTGGAGTAGTAGTATTCTGAAATATTACTTAAAATGACAAGTTTTGTCAACTAAAGACATGATACATTTTAAGTAGAACAGTAGCCTCTCAGTTTCCAATACATAAACTTCAACTGTGTGAATAATCAGTGGTCTCACAATAAAGATGAAAACAATGATTAAGATTTTGAACATTACACAAAGCGATTGACTGCTGACCTAGGGGTCGGCTGTTCTAAGCCACTAGGGCTCCGCAGGAGAAGGATGTGGCAGTTCACGTCCATGGAGATTTGTGGCCTTGGAAACTCTGTGGAGTTGCTGTGGGTCAGAATCGGCTCAACAGCAGTGAGTTTGGGTTTTTTGTTTTTGTTTTTTTTGTTTATGTATATATGTATATAATACAATATTTGTCCTTTTGTGACTGCCTTATTTCAGTCAATGTAATATTAGGAATGATACTAAATATAATTAGTCACTCAGACTAATACACATACATACATATATATACGTTATGTATATATATGTGTATATATATACGTTATGTATATATATGTGTATGTGTGTGTGTGTGTATATACATGTATATATATATCCATACTCCCCAAAAGACAAGGCCCGTTTCCGTCTGGTGGATTCCGACTCATGGCGACCGTATAGGAGGGAGTAGAACTGCCCGGTGGGTTTCCAGGGAGCGGCTGGTGGATTCGAGCTGCCGACCTTTTGGCTGGCCGCCGAAACTCTTGGCCACTGTGCCACTAGGGCTCCATATATGTATGTAAATATACGTGTATGTAATGGAAGCCCTGGTGATGTAGTGGTTGGGAGCTACAGCTGCTGACCAGGGGGATGGGAGGTTCGGGTCTACCGGGTGCTCCTTGGAGGCTGCATGGGACAGTTCTGCTCTGTCCTGTGGGGTCGCTGTGGGTCGGGGTCGGCTCGATGGCAGCGGGTTTGGTTTATGTTTTCCATATGTGTATATATATATCTATCTATATGTGTGTGTGTGTGTGTATGTGTGTATATATATATATATATCAGACTTGTTGCCGTTGAGTTGATTCTGGACCATGGTGACCCTGGGGGACGTAGTGGAACTACCCTATGGGGTTTCCAGGGAGCAACTGGTGGATTTGAGCTGCCGGCCTTTTGGTCAGCAGCCACATCACTTGCTTACTGCGCCACCAGGGCTCCATATACATGTATATATAACAAAACATTTGCCACTTCAATATTTTTTGCATATACAATTCAGTTACGTTAATTACGTTCATCATGTTGTGCAGCTATCACCACTATTCATTTCCATATTTTTCCATCACCCTTAACAGAAGCTCAGTGTCCCCTAAGTAATAACTTCCTCTTTCTCCCTCCCTCCTACCTCTGTTGTTGTTAGTTGCCTTCAAGCTGAGTTGATTCTGACTCAAGGCGACTGCATGTATGCAGAGAAGAAGTGCTCTGTAGGGTTTTCCAAGTTGTGACCTTTTGGAAGCAGATCACCAGGCCTGTCTTCCCAGGTGCCTCTGGTGGGTTCAAACTACCAACCTTTCAGCTAGTAGTTGAACGCTTAACCATTTGAGCACTTTTGAGGACCGCTAACACACTTTGGTCTTTATAAAAAAAAAAAAGATTTTGAACATTGCAAAAGAGAACCTCTCAAAATTACACATAATGCATTTTGCAATTAGACAACAAATACTCAAGAAAATACCACGTACCATCTCTTTCCAAGGAATAGCATAAATACATGTGTTTTCTATTTGAACTTAAAATGGGATTTTAGAACAGAACTATGATGCCAGATTGGAAATGTGTAATTAATTTAAAATGTTAACATATGTTACAGAACTTCTGTCTACTTTTTTCTTTTAAAAAAATCTTCATTTTCTCCTTATATGTACTCAACTCTTGGCTTTTTCATGACGTCGCTCATTAATGATAAGTTTGAAAAATGTTGACATTACTCTTATTCCAACTTAGACTCTTCAGCAGTCACAGTGTAGAATATTTAATAGTTGTATGATTATTCATACTTACACACTAGTTAACCAACTCATCATTGCTCAGGAGAATAATTAACCATCTCTGAATTAATAACTCCCAGCTGATACTCACTCTGAAGTGCACTACATAGATTTGCCCATATACGAAACAGCTTCTTGGCAAATCATAATCTGCATCTTCTCGGAAGGAGACTTGCTTATGTCTTTGAGGTACTACCTGCCAGTCACCAGACTGGATTTTATTTCTGTCCCATAGCAACATGTTAAGCCAAATCATCTGGAACGTCTTCTCCAAAGTTGGTGAAAATCCAAATAAAACTTTTTTTTTTTAATATTCATATAGCAATGGATAAAAATGAACACATCCTTATTTGACCATATGGTTCTTCCCTCTTATCGTGTGCTGGTGAGTCGATTCCGACTCATACCAACCCTACAGGACAGAGTAGAACTGCCTCATAGAGTTTTCTAGGTTGTAATCTTTATAGGAGCAGATCACCAGATCGTTTCTTCCTGGGGGTTGCTGGTGGGTTCGAACCACTGACCATACAGTTAGTAGCCGAGAGCTTAACCATTGTGCCACCAGAGCTCCTTTCTTCCCTCTTAGAAATCCAATAGTTTATATACTTTATTGTAGTTCTAAGCTCCATCACAGGAGTACATTTGTGTAATTCCTGTTTTTCTAAAACTCATGTAATAAGTAATTTAACAAGCATTAATTTTAGAAAGTAAACCCTTTAGGTTGAAAAGTAGTTCTCTTTAGTCATTTTAATCTTGTTCCAGAGGAAAAGAGAGGTATTGGAGTGAGCTGAGAAGCCTCACAATATTTAGGGGTTATCTTTACTTCTTTCGTCAGTCCTCTTCTCTGAGTCAGGAGATCATAACATGTTGCTTGTTTCTATGACTTCTGCCCAGGAGAGTCAAGAGAACTCCTCCCAGGCCATATGGTTCTCGGATCACATTGCTTTTTTGCACAGCAGCCTCCTACAGTAAGGTTCTGATGCTTTGGGGTTTCTCGCACGTCAGACCTGTGAATTCCTCTAACCCCGTAATGCTTACTCCCTCTGTATTCAGGGCAAGTGGGCAGCTCCCAAATCTTTCACCTCACTTTACCATTATGTTTAGGTACCTCTGACAATAATGCATAGACTTGGAGAACATTCCATTGAAGAGATGCATGCACCTTCTTTATCTCCCCCACTATTAGGAGATTTAGGTTAGCCCATGGTTGAAAGTATCTGCTGTTCTCCCCAAGGAAAGAAGGGTTTTCAAATCACACATGTTTTTGTGTTTAGCAATTATGTCTGTTGCTTTTCTACTCAGTTGTAAGGTATCTCCAGACAGAGCACATTGCATTAAGTCTCTACAGAGCCAGCCTAAGTGGAAGTAGGGACAGTGTGAAGACTGTGTCTTCGGCAAGCCAGATTGCTGATTAGACTGCAATAATGTTACAAGGAAAAGGAGAGGGCATGATAAAGTGTTCTTTCTATTCACATTTTATTCCCTTGCTCTCACTTGGAAAGAGATTGTACTGAAACGGTTTCATACGTCAGCATGATACAAAACACAACTGAAAAGCAATGCAGCAATATCAGACAGCTGGGCTGTTTCTGATCTGTCATAACCTGTGCAGCTAGTACTGGGTAACTCAGGATGGTCTTTGTGCGTGGAAAGGTGTGTCACCTCTCACCTGAATCTCCAAAAGTCCCACTGGACTCCATATCTTTAGGGTTTCTTCCCTCCAATCTATCCTGGACTGTTTTTACTTACCTAGTGTCACCATTTGCTCAATAACATCTACCCATTGCCGTTGAGTCGATTCTGACTTATAGCAACCCTATAGGACAGAGTAGAACTGCCCCATACAGTTTCCAAGGAGTGGCTGGTGGATTCAAACTGCTGACCTTTTGGTTAACAGCTGAGCTCTTAACCACTGCACCACCAGAGCTCCAAAAACACCTAGGAGCTGCCAGTTGTACCCATGCCTCCCATGTTTAGCAGTC